ATTTCTCTACTTTGAGATATGCCAGGCTCCCTAAGAATATATTTCCTTCAAATGGACTAAACACAAATGGACTGAACACCTGGCTTGCTCATCTGCTTATGAACAATACAAAGAAGAAACTAACGTGGGTTTACAATTTATCACCAAAGCAATATCCTAACTATCTGAGTGTGGGTACACCTGCAAGTCCGATAAAGGCCTTAAAGATCCCAGAATTTCCAGGATCACACTACAGAACTGTAAGTCACCTGGGCCCATAGACCAATAATTCCAGCTACAGTATATGCCTAATTATAACAATTCATATTTTAATAAAATTTGGCAATTCACAAAACATTTCACAACTATAATCTAATTTTTCCCAAAACTAAATAAGGTAGTTATAACAGATATTAAATTTTCTAGCTTTTAAAAAAATTTTCCTAGTTATTTTTTCTTTTAATCTTGGCTATAGCAGTGAAACCAACCAATTAGATTTGAACAAAGTTTTCTTTCATAAAGAAAATCCTAAATCCTTAGAATCCAAATCTTGCTGGCTTTTTTCCCCCTGTCTTTGAAGGAGTTTTGTTTTTATTGCCAATGTTGAAAAAACATCACACCATCCCTTAGGACTTAGGTTAGGAATAATTATCCCCAGCAGGAATGGTATAGAAACAGTCTCCTGGAAAGTTTAGTTTTGGCCAGCTATTTCAGATTTAATTGAACATTCTTATTTTAATAGAAAATGAAAAAGAAAAATGTAGATGTTGCTTAAAGTATAGTTAAGTCTACCAGCTTGGCAAGGACTTTAAATGCATGAGTTTTCAACACAAGCAAAATATGTATTTTCTAATGAAAGATTGCTTCTCAGTAGGCCAAACCCAAATGTTTGCCCTGCTGTTAAATTTAAGGAGATCCTCCATGGTAGGGAATATGATTTGGAAATATTTTTATCACTTAGCTGATGTATGTTGAGTGATTTTTTACTCTAAAGAGCCATCCATCAATAATAGGCTTGCATCAATCAGTAATCAGAATTTATGTTCTACAACAGTACACGTTTCCTAGCTTGTCTGGCTTACAAAGATCTTTTGGAAGACCTTGGGTAAAAACAGTCCATGGTAATGCCATACGGAGAAAATGATCATTCTTTTCAAAGATCACAGTGATGTGTGTGGGACAAATGTTACAAGCATATTAAAATTAGAAATATTGGAGTCCAAGGATTCTATAAGTATCCCTGATTCTTTCATTATAAAATAAAGAAAACCTATTTAAAAATAGTTTTAATTAAATATAAAATAGAAGTAACCCTGCTGATCTCTGATTCTACAAAATGTCAGTAATCTTCCTAAAATTATTACATAAAGAAAAAAATATTTTACATATTCTCAGAATAGCACAAGACAGGTTTTCAAAATTCTAAAAAGGATAATTTTGATATTTGTATATGATTAGATAATACAACTAATAGTTACATTTAATATTTACAGTATACCTCACAGAAGTTACTCTAACATAATTATCACAGATAAACGAGAGATTGATTTCACTAGTTTTAGATTGTACTTGGCAATCTTTCAGAGTCTTGAACGAAGTCCTCGATGAATGCTCTAACTATAGGATGACAGATGAATGAACTCAGAATCAGGCAATGTAGGCAAATTACCTATTTTAATTGAACGGGTGAGCCTAGGCTGTTTAACCAAGATCTCCAAGATCCAACTGAACTGTCATCCAGATGACTGCCATATTTCATTCCAAGAATTTCTGCTTGCAAGCCAAATCCTATACTAGTCATCATTCTACCATTAAAATAATCTCTATTGATCCCTCTTTGACTGATGCCCCTCCACTGAGACTTACAAGAGCTGTGCATTAGACTATCAGGTCCATAAATCTTCCTCCCTTCAGCTAGATGCCTCAAAGACCCTCCCACACATCCTTTTACCAACAATACTCCTAAACCCAAGGTTCCTTCCATTTCCTACCAAGAATTTAAGAGTTCTTTCTTCATTCAAGCAGCCCCTAAAATAAAATCTTCTCCACAAAGGTTAATTGGAAAAAACATTTTCCTAAATTTTACTCTCAAAATGAAAATCTTTCACGAGTCTTTAGTACTCCATAATATGCATTTTTAATAAGTATTTGCTTAATATTGTATTTTTAATTAATTAATTCTTTCCTAAACATCTACTTTTTCAATGTGTTGCCTCCATAATTATAAAAACATAGTCTATCTAAGATTATGAGCTTCGAAAGGTCTGGCATTAAATGCTAACTCACATGGAGTAAGACATAATGCAATGAATGCCATGCTAGATTAAACATAAATGTTTAATGTTATTGCTGCTGAGCTTCTGAATTCTAGATTCTATCTCTCAGTTTTGTAGTTTTAAAAGTCTGATTCTTTCCACCCTGAGATGGTCTACGAAAGTCATTTTAAGGAAACAATACAATCCAGTGGCTATGAGTGGGCTCTGGAGTCAAAACTTAGGATCAAATTCCAGTTTCAGTTCCTATTGCCTTGAACAAGTTACTTAAGCCCTCTAAGCTTTGGTGTTCTTGTGCGCAAAATAAAGACAATCCAACAGTATCTACCCAAGGTTACTAAGAATAAATATATATAATGTATGTAAACACCTATGTGTGCCTGGAACAAGGCACAACAAAATTATGTGTTGGTTATTAAACTTTTTTCCCCCGCAGCTCCAAACCACTACTCTATACAAAAATGTGTAATACTGGGGCTGGGACTGTGTAAATTACATTTTTCCCTTTGCCAGCTGAATTTTTGTTAGGCTCCACTAAAAGGTGGACTAGAAGAATAAAACAGGAAGGCAGAAGGGGGAAAGATCTTGCTGTTTCCTATTTGCTGGTAGTTCCTACCAACATCCCCAGAGCAACAGTTACTCATTCCAGGAGCAGCACTTATTTCTACTCTCCAGCGTTTTCTCCAGATTACCCAAAGCAGCCTCATCATTCCCCAACAATACTAGCACCACCTTAAAGTTCCCCTCTCCTCCAGCACCCCTGTCCAAGTCCCTGCTCTACAGGACCTCTCCTCCAAGCTTCTAGTTTTAGTAATCACAACCTCTACCCTCTGTTCTCTCAGCTATCTTGGTGTTCTTTCTGATTTTATGGTTCTTCAGTACCAATTTAATCTATTCCCTATATTACACTCTGTTAAAATATCCAGTTGTGCTCTTCCTCCTGTCTATAGTCTAACTGAAATTGATACTATTCAGAGGAATGGAAATGGGATTGAGAGTTTAAAAAAAAAAGGAATTTGTGCATTTACTTTATATAATGTCCTTATATATTACATATGTCATTTAAATTTAATTACATATTTTAAGTGATTTTTGACATCATTTGGCCTATTCACATTGGTCTTCAGGATATTATAAATCACCTTTTTAAAAAACACATCACTAGTAATTCCCAAGAGAACTTACTTCCAGAGATTAACACCAAGATGGCTTGGGGAGTTGGAACAATCAGCGACTCCACTGGATAGTCTACTCATCATGGTGTTTGCTAACACTGACACATCAACTAAATTTGAAAGTCTTCCATTAGAAATGCTGTATGAATTTCCTGCAATAAAGGATTAAACAAGCCTAGCACAGTATCTATGCCACATATTAAGTACGTAATAAATATATTATTTCCTTCCTATCCCAACTACCTTGCCACCAGACCCTAATCCAAGAGCTGCTAATAGGCACATAACTTCTTTAGAAAGTAGGCTTTATTAACTTACATATATAAGAAAAGATCTTAGCTGACAAATCTCAAACTATGAACGCTTACCAGGATGCCAGAACAGCAAATGCACTAGGTAAGTTTAGTAATAAAGTTATTTTCTTATATCATGAAATGCCATTGCATAATAAGTATAACTATAATGATAAATGGCTAAAACTCACCTCCACTTCCCTCTTTTTTACAGCAAATTCACTCCTTTCTTCTATTGTCACCTCTATTAGCCATTTTATCAGCCTTTTTACTATACAATTACTGATTAACACTGGAAAAAACTTGAGAATAATTCATACCCTTCTGTAGGAGAAAGCTTCCACAAACATAAGAACTGAGGTGAGCACTCTTCCCTCAACACACAGTCTGAAAAACCAAAATTGCTGTCATGCCAAGGAGTAAATATTTATATTAAGAATAAAGAAGTTATCTCTGTAAATGACAAAAAGGAGCTTGGGCTATTTATTTCAATAAAGTGGTAGAAGACCAGTAAGGCTGAATTTACTGTTATGTTTCATTCCTCATTTTCTTTATTCTTCAATTTCCTGGAAATTAACATATTTTGTGATTGAGATGTAGAAAGCAAGTTATCAGTAAGGGTGATAACATTTTTTTAATTTCAAAGTCCATTTATTGCCCCAGATATTGTTACTACTGTGAATGCTGATTTCATATTCAAAAATAAATTTTAATATGGTGAACAATTAACTTTCTTTATAGATAACTATTTGCAATGTGAACAGTTATACTATTTTCCACTGATTTTTTTGTTAAATTTCTAGTGGATAACTCTTTCTGTAATATTCTAGGAGGCTCATAACATTTAAAGTGCCTCAAATTATTACTGTACTTTAGATTTAAAACAAGAAACCTAAAGAAAGACTACCAAAACAGACAACTGAACTTTCTTCCTGGAGAACCCACACCACCAGGAACAGGATTATTAGTGAAGGATGAACATAGGTACCATTTCCCTATGACGTATGTCCCATAACCACGTGTTTCCCCCCAGTATATATTTCTACAAGGAAGAACTCACCAAAACCTGGAAAATCTGTCTCCACTGTTCCCTGGTGAATCACAGAATGTTCCTTTATATAGGTAAAAGAGAGCCATAAATGATTTCTGTGGTTTACAGTTTTCTATCTTCATCACTGTGACGTTTAATTGAGTGATAATTATCTTAACAGATCAAAATTCCAAAATTTAAATTTTTCACTTTGTCAAGAAGTTAGATGATTCAAACTGTATTCAATTAGTTTAAGAAGGTAATATTCAGATTTAATTGTCATAACTTACACTAAGACACTAAAAGTGCTACAGAACATAATACATGAGGATGTGAGTCTATATGCACAATACCTTTTCCCTCAAAACTGAAAGACATGACTTTTAAAAAAGGAATTATGCCTATATTAAGTTATCATTTTGTACTGAAACATCAAATAACAAACCTGTAATGGAAAAATGTGCTACTCTATTGCCATTTGTATTTCAATTTTTGTTTCTGAAACCAGTAGTGTAAAGAGAAAAGATTTAACATAGATACTATTGAGAGTTAACAAACATTTGGAATACAAATAAAACAAAATTTTAAAATACTAATAAAATAAACATTTTATTAATGAAAGTCTGAAAAACATGTGCACAAACACAAAAGTGACTACCAATACTGAAAGAAGAACCTTCAAAAAAATGTGTATCACATGATTTAATTTTTCAAACTTTGTATCTATAAAAGCTATATTATAAACACATAGCTAAACTATTAGAGTACTAACAATACTGTTCATACAAAGAAACTTGACAGTAGTAAAATATGAACGTGAGATGCTTATTTTTGGTCCTTCTGGAAAAAAGAACTAAGTTGGGTTTTTTTTTAACATGGCTCCAGGCACAAAAATAGAATATAAGATGATAACTGCAACATTCTTAGTGTTTATCCTTGTAATTCTTTAAATGTCACCAGTCATAATAGCAATGAATTCCTCTTGATTTACTGTGGTAAGAAAGAAAATGTAAGTCAGAGACACAATTTTTCTTCAGAGAAAAATATTATTATTTTACACTAAGTATCTTTAAATTTTATATTATACAAAATTCTTAATAAACCAAGACACAGCTTTTTACTTTTACTTCTTTGTTAGGAAATTGAATATGTTAATTAAATTGAACTTAATAGATACAAAAATACATAAAATGTAATAAACAATATAAATTAGTATTCTATAATATTAACTAGCAAAAAGACACAATAGTATATAAACTACAAACAAATCCATCATAATCATAATATTTATTCACACTTAATAGTTTTAAAAACTTGAAATGTTTAATTTCTTAGATGGTTAAATTCTCTTTATAATCTTTATATTACTAGTTCATTTAGCAAACCCTTCCTTAATAAGTATGCTTAAATATATGACTGCATGTAAATTAGAATTCTAAAGGATGAAATATACTGGAATTAGAAAATAGTCTAATTGCTGTTTTTTATACTCATATATTTAAAAGCCTATTTTAAAGAAAAACTAATTGAAACCAGGTCACCATACCTCAAAAGTAACCAGAAAAACAATAATTTTAAAAGATACAGATTTAATTTTAATTTCCAAGGTAATAATGCAATCATAAAACAAGACAGGAATGCATGAAATAATCACTGAGAGACTAGTAGTTATTTTACCAAAACTATAAATAAAATTCAGTAAGAACCTCCAACATATAAAGTATATTTAAGAAAGCAACCTAGAAATAAATAGGTGATCTCATTAAACACAATCTTTAAAAAACAACATACATACGAATTATCAAGAGAAATGTTCAGAAAAGAATGCTTCAACTTTGTAAAGTAGGTGAATTCATGGGCCCCAAGACTTAACACATATCTTAACAAGAAACAAGTTATGAATGATAATTTTAATAAGAATACTACAATGAGAAAAAAGACACCTAAATTCTAGTCATAGCTCTGACAGAACAGTTCTGCATCTCAATTTCTTCAACTGAAAATACTGAACTATGAGATGATCTGTCGTTTCTAACTCTTAAATACCCTAATGATACATGAAAACACTCCACTGAATCAAACATTTTTAAGTGCCTTGGTGAACACCACACCATACTAGGAGTTGTGTAATATATCAGAACAGATATGAGGGTTCCTATTATAGAATACCTGAAATTGAAGTGAAGAAGAAATTGGGTGATATTATAAAATTATTAATTTTCTTAGAGGTAACAATGGCATGATAGTTTTGAAAGAGACTATCCTTATTCTTACTAGATGCATGCTAAAATATTAGGGGGGTCAAGTTCATGATATATTTTTCAAATGATTCAGAAAAAAATACACACTATAGATAAAGCAAATATAGATAAAGTAAAATGTTAATTACTGAATCTAGGTAGAAGGTATAAAGGTGTTCACTGTACTAGTCTAACATTTTTTCCTCTATGTTTGAGAAGAGTCATAGTTTAAAAGTTAGAAAAAATTAACCAATTAAAAAATGATGAGATAAAATATGTACATAACAAAAGAAAAAAGTATACTGTTTCCAGAAACCATACAGAAAACCAGTTTTAATCATTATGTTAGTCATGTTTTACACCTGAGACAGAGAACAAATGCTGTATAACACAAAACATGGCCTATTTTTAAAACAAAAACCAGATATCAGTGTTGAAGAAAAAAAGTTCATCATAATGGGGAAAAATTATCACTGATGAGAAAAATTCAGGTAAAAATAAATCCTGATTTGGGCTCTAAAAATAAAAATATAGGATTTGGTTAGATAAGAGGTGGAAAGAAAGCTAAGGTAGAAGAACACCATCAGAAACATAGTTAAAGAAAAATATAGTGCAAAAAGCAAACATAAGCTCTAATGAGTTAAGAAGAATGAACTGTCCAGAAGCTGATTAATTACCATGAATCCATGCATTCAATATTAAACACCTACAAGACACTATGACAGATAAGAGAACAGAATATAAAACCTGTAATACTCCAAATACTTTAAATGATTTTATAAATTGTAGTACTGATCTTTAACCTTTGCAATTAAGTGAATCTGTTTCAATATCTTATGAAAGCTATGACCCCTCTCTCCTTAATTAAAAAAGAAATCAAAATACATAAAAATTTTAAACAATTTCACCAATATGTACCTTCATTTAAGAACCCCTGATTTAGTCAATCTAAAGTGACGCATCTAGACCAAAACAGGAAACAAAAGTACACTTTTAAGGAAAACAACATAGGAAAGCAGCCTCAGAATTATTTGACTATAAATCATTTTAACAACATAACAAAGCCATGATTAAAATATTCAAAATCTGAAAAGTACTTTTGTTAAAGATCAAAAACTTTTCTCTCAATTTGTAAAATTTCAATGTTATAATTTCAAATTAAGCTTCACATTCACATAGCTCTAAAACCACAAACAATTTTTGTATTATTTATGTATAAGTACTTTAAAGTACTGTAGCATTTCAAAAGTATTTTAAAGTATTCCATAATTGCATACCTAAAAACAGAATATTTAAGTCCTAAAAAGTGAACTAAAAAGCTGAAGGGAAGAAAGTGGCTAAGGAAATCAAACCAGCTCCATTATTACTAGAGAGCCTTTAAGACAATTAGGAGAATTTGCGATGCCTTTGTACGTTTGATTTTATATCCTTCTCTATCAGTCATATCTTATATCAAGTTCTTATATCTAATAAACCTAACACAATGCCTATCTTAAAATAAGCATTTGATAAAATATTTACTGAATCAAACAAATATGGCACTTCATTTTTTTTCTACACTGCCTTTTTAAACAAAATTTTCATAAGTCAGAAATATACACAAAATGTTATGATAACTCACAGAGAAAAAAAATGTGACAATGAGTGTGCATATGTCCATGAATGACTAAAAAATTGTGCTGAACACTGGAATTTGACACAACATTGTAAAATGATATAAATCAATAGAAAATGTTAAAAAAAATTTTCATAAGTCAAACATTTCATATGGTGAATCCTATTATATGTCATGAAAATGAAGAATTTTAGAGAAATTAAGTAGATTAAGTACCTTAGAGATTATCTGGCTTCAGAGCGGAAAAAACAGATTTTAACACCTGAAGTGCCAGTTGAATATTTTACTGATATGCTGCTTCCCATAACAGTATGCAATTTTTAATACTCCATAAACATATAAATGTAATTAACACTTTACAGCACAAAAATCAATACAGTGTTATGGTTAAAAGTACATTCTTTGTCATTATGGATTTATGAGTTTAAGTTCTGGCTCTGCCATGTATTAGCTTTGCGATATAACGTTGGGCAGGTTATTAGTATCTCAGAGCTTAAGTTTCCTCATGTATTCATGCATCTATCGTATGTGTTTACTTCAAAAAAGCTATCATGAAAATTAAGTGACATAATCCACAATCTAAGATGTTAAGCACAGAGTCTAAAGTATACTAACTACTAAATAAATGTTAGCACTCATCGTAATTATTTAGAAAACGATTTACTTTGGCTTTTTAAATGCTGCTTCTATTTTTCCAAAAGATTTACTGTGTTTTACTTTATATATCTTGAGAGGGATTCTTTCTATATCATTTCCACAGCTTTATTTATGTTTCATATTATGTCTTCTTTTCCTTTAATTCCTCATTCACCATGTTTATTATTTTATATATACAACAAAAAATATTTTCATTGCTCATAAATACTGAACACTGAAATTTCATTAAGACAGACCAATTACTAAAGTCCACAAAAAAAGTTGTAGCAAAGTATTATGATCTTTGCCAGTTTAACATACACAAAGAGCACAGGTTATATCTAAGCAAACCTCTGCCTGTAGCCAAAAAGAAATCCAGATTAAGTGATCAGATTAATAAATAATGATAAAATCTAACTTCCTACTTTTTCAAAAATGGGCAGATTTTCAGATAGCTGCAGAGACTCAATATAAGTTAAGGTAGTATTCCAAAGCCACACTAAACAGACTAAAGTTGTAGTACTCATTGTTTTTGAATATGAAGATGCCTTTCAACAATAATTTTCTGGACTTGCCAGAGTAATAGCTATCCTTAGTATGTCTTGTTTGAGAAGTAGATAATGTCAAATTGCTACTATAAATTCTGCAAAATAAGTATATTAATCAATCACAATAGCACTTAGAGATATAACTGAAAAATACCAGTATATGTATGCATATGCAATACTATTATTCATATGGTCTACAGACTATATTTGATGCATATGTGAAATCTCAGACCCTGTGCAGTATCTCAGAAGGCCACCACTCCTAAAGACCCACATCCCAGATTGGAAACTACCCAGTTAGACTATTTTAATATGATAAGACCACTCACCTCCCCCAGCAAAAAGGACAAATCTTAATAAAAGATTATGTGTTAGGTGTATTTTATTTGCAATTAATGACTTGGAAAAAAGGAAAAAAATGTTATTTGCCTGTTAATCATTTGAATAAATGGCAATAGGATGCCCAAGCAACAGTTGTACAGTGACTTAAAGTGGACTAATGCAAGCAGTGAGGACAGAAGAAATGTTTTAAGGATGCACTAATATAAATCTTCCAGCAATGGAGCACAGGTGTGAACTCAGATTCAAAAGCAGGAAGCAGAGCAGTCTAACAAGGGATGCAAGAAATGGACACATTTTCTAAGGAAAGCTTCACATCAAGTTTGAATTTAAGAGGCATCTTCCTAATTGATATTTTCTTCTAATGTTAAATGAAGCTATTAACTAAAATCTAACTTGCATGTGCCTAGTATAGGAAAAAGAAACTGTTTATAACTCTGATCTTTTCACATACATAGTAGCTGTTATTAAAGATTTATGAAATAGTCATATCAAAATTCACTCTACCACTGAAGAGACACTTTTGCATAAAGGAACTCCTTTAAAGCTAATTTAGGGTAATAATCAACAGCTAGGGAAGACACAAAATTTTTTAAATATGAAGGAAGTAGATGTTAAGTCCAAACATTAGAGTGACAGCTTAAGAAATCATTTAAATTTTCTCAAGTTTTGATCATCTGTTTTAAAATATAACTATTTTGATACCACTTCAAAGAGCTAGTACTAAAAATAGAAAAGCTGTATAAAGCTCAACTAATAGTTACATAAATATGAGATAGCACAGTAATGCAAAGTTATAATCAAAAGTCTACAAACCTGAATGATAACTAGTTTGCCACCATCATATCTCCTTATTAAAGCAGCCAGTATTTTCAAGGTAATATATATATCTATTTATGCACAATGTATGGTTAGTACTGTAACAACATATATCTACTGTAACACAAACTCCTGCTCAGGGCTTAAGTCAACAAATAGCAGAGTACTCATCATGTTCGAGAAAATGCAGGGGAATATAAAGATGGAAAAAAAAGGAAAACAATCTTACATTTAATGCCAGGTACCTTCAAATATCTTCATTTAACACTCACAACCACCTTGGAAGATATTACCATTCTCAGTTTTATAAACAGGGAAACTGACTCAGAAAACATTTTAAAACTTGCACAAAATTACAGAGCAACTAAGTAAGCAGTAAAAATTCAATTCAAATCCGGGTCTGTGTAATTCCAAAGCCTCAGGCCTTTCACACTATATGATTCCATATTGCTCTTTAGGGAATCACAATATAATTGAAGAGACAACACGCATATAACTAACAGAAGGCAGTGTATAAAAGTGTCAAAATAGTTTGTTCCTCTAAATGCTATGGGTCCTCAATGGAAATCTCATAACTTATAAACAGAGACCATTGAGGGAGGCTTTTGAAAAAAGATTCAATTTAAAATGAATCTTGAGAGAACGACTAACATTTTAGTGGATAGAAATTGACAGTTAGGATTCTAAGATTAAAGAATAGCATGATGAAAGGCACACCATAGAAAAGACGGGATAGAGTACATTTTGTCAGAGTGTGTATACTATATGGGAGAAGAGAGGGTTAAAAAGTAGAAAGTCAAAGAATACAGTAGAAAATAAAACTAGATACTCATAGTAGGATAGATCACAGAAGGCTTTGGACTTTACTCTGTAGGCAGTAAAGAATCATTCTAAGTGTTTGAACTGGAAAATGACATCACTAAACCTGTATTTTAGAAAAAGAATGCTATTAGAATGAATTAGAGAGCAGAAGCTTACAGGCATGGAAGACAATTAGGAGGCTTCAAGAGACTGTAAAGTCAGTGACAGCAGGGACAACATCAGTTTTTTTATTGGGTAGCACCAGTCAGCACACAGGACACTGTACTCAGCAGGCATTCAAGGAAATAATGGAGGCTATAATGACATTCTGACAAAGAAATTAGGGCCTAAACTAGGACAGCAGCAGTAAAACAGATTCAAAATATTTGAACGGTAGACTCAATAGGACTTAGTAATAGTTTAGATGTGCATGTAGGTTGAGGAAGGCATTAAAGGTTGAAATTTTACTGAGTGGCTGAAATTTGGAAGATATTTCATCCTCAAAGAAAAGTACTTTTTTGAAGTGTGGAACCTTTTACTACAATCTGTACAGCTGTGGTTTTAAAGGTCTGCTTCATTCTAAACTGAAAATGTGTAATATTTACAGAAAAAGTCCATTACACAATGAACAACACTTACACTAAATAGAGGTAGTTTGCAAAGGGTCTTTAAAATCATTTGGTTTTAGAACAATTTACTGTATGTGTACATTAGGAAAATTTCAAGTATATGTTTTACTTAAAACTTACTTTCTCCATCACCATCTTTATCAAATTCTTCTATCATAGCCCGAAGTTCTTCATCACTCATGTTTTCACCCAATTCTCTGGCAACACGTCGCAAATTCCTCAGGCTTATTTTACCTGAGTCATCATCATCAAATAGTTTGAATGCCTTCAATATTTCTTCATGTGGATCTCTCTCCAATATCCAGTCTGTCACTGTAGTTCAAAAAAGATGAAAAGTAAACCTTTATAGTCACAAAGGTACTGATCTATAATAGATGAGAATTAAAGCTGTGAATCTATCAACACTTAGTTTGACAATAAAAATGCAAAATCAAGAGCCCCCAAACCCAAAGATAAACCTAAAATTAGAAAAACAAAATCCTTATTTTGAAATTTAGCCTTTATATTATCAAGTTTATCCTATTATAAAGGTAAACATAACTACTTATATCACACAACAAAATTATTAAAAACTGTATTTATACCATATATTTAAGGCCTATTATCAAGAATTGTACTAGCCTCCACTGACATCAAGCTCAAAGTCTAGGAGTTTGTAACCTAGTTGTAAAGATGATATACCAACAAAACAATTAAAACCAACTAGATAAAAGCTATTTGTTGGCTGAACTTAATAGTAATACTGATTATTCATCTAATTTAATCCAACTTAAAAACAAACAAAAAACCCCTGACAAATCAATAAAATGCCCTGCCATCACTGATACATCACAATCTCAGAGATGAAAACTCCACAGGTATCTTCATGATTAGAAGAACCTCTTGGTTTCCCAAAAGCAATTATCAAAAGGATTGAATCTCATTGCAGTAAAGGAAAAAAAAAAGGTCTGGAAAGGAGATCTCTCTAAAGTCAAATCCATTTTGTTCAGCAAGATAATAACTCTCAGATAGCTATATTAAAATTAAATGTCAGTAATTTCAGACTTCAATAGTAATAATATATTTTAACATACTAAATGTAAGAATACATAACAGTAAATTTAAACAATATTTTAATATTACAATTTTTAATCAACACCCACAATAAGAGAAAATTTTAAATCTGTAGTATAAAACTTTCTAAGTTACTAGATAGAATTCTTAAAATACTGAAGTAAACATCTCTGAAGTAATTTTACATGCTAGTCTACCACTACAACAAAATGTATTTATGACCTTTTATGTTATGTACCACTAAAACAACTCGGTCCTATTGAGGTTTATAGACTCATTAAAAACTTGCAAATACTTGTAGATGGAGAGTACTGGAATGTTTAATACACCCGGAAGTAAAAATATAATTCAAGCCCCTTCAAATTGTTGTTTTGCTGCTATTTCATCATACTTGGTTGAATAAGCACCTATTCAAGCTTATGTTAAATCATCTACACATATATTCAATAGTTTTCTTTTATCCATTAATTTTATCCAAAAAGTCTTCCAAGTAACTAGCTGAAGTATATTACTATAAGTATGCAAATCACCAAAGCTCATAAATATTCAGTCAAAAGGAGCTGGCATATATACAGCCATAACACCAAAATAAAATACCACACTTAACTCTATGGCACATACTCAACTTGTTTTGAATTTAGTCCCAACAAAAAAGCAGGACAAGGAAAAAAAAGTGTTAAAAAATTTTTCTTCACCAACTAAATAATTTACATGACAGGTGAACCAAAAAAGCAGCTTGCTGAAAATATTAATGTACTTAAAGAAGCAACAGGGTGATCTGGGGAACAGATGGGGCTCCAAGATGTATAAATTCTTATCCCACTGGTGCTTTAATTGTGTTAGTTACTTTAGATTTTTGTGTCTATATAATCTTTTATCAATAGTTTGCCTTAGAATTCACTTTTTCTTGGGAACTATAAATACCTATCATTCATGACAGTTAAAACATTACAACTTTTTGGTGACTCTCCTGCATGTCTTCATGTTCTATTGCTATTCTACAAAATAGAATTTAATTATTAAAAAAATACATTTTTTTGATGAAAATAAATCAACTGACGCTCAGGCTGTAAAAGATGGGTTCAATCTATTTCACAAAATTCTGACCATCAAATTCTATTTTCAAATGACTTAATTATACTATCAGAAATGTACTGACTCAAAATAGTTAGACCTTATACATGATAAAAATCACTTACGACTACTTTAAAAAAGCAAATTTAAAAAATCACATTAAAACTTTAAACCCAATCAATGATTAGATCCTATAGTATGAGGATACTACTTTTTTCACTCTTAATAAATGTATCCCTTTTCTCTTCACTTTCACCACCCTCAGCATAAAAAGTTTATTACAGTTGTCCTTCAGTATCGACGGTATCTATGGTGGACTGGTCCTAGGACTCCCCTCAGATACCAAAATCTGAGAGAGTATTTGCATATAACTATGCACATCCTCCTGTATACTTTAAATCATCTCTACATTACTTATAATATCTAATACAATGGAAATGCTGTATAAAAAGTTGTATATACAATGTAAATGCTTTGTAAATAGTTGCCAGGCACTGAGCAAATTCAAGTTTTGCTTTTTTGGAAATTTCTGAAATTCCGCCCCCCCCAATAGTTTCAATCCACAGTTGGTTGAATGGATGATACGGAACCCAAGGATAGAGAGGGCCAACTGCATCTTCTGCCTGAGGTCTCTCTTCTCTCCCACCTATCTATAATACTCTCAACAGAGCTATCTTTCTAAAGCATCTTCTTTAAAAATTGACAATGACCTTCTGCTGACTAAAGTCCAAACTATGTTATGCAAGGCTATTGGACCTATCCAGCCCAATTCTACCTTTCTAGTCATTTCCATATCCTTTAGAGCAGGGGACTACCTGAAGTTTTCCAAACACGCTACACTTCTGCTATCACTCTTTGTTGTTACTGTTTTCTGTTTGGAATGTCTTTCTCTACTCCTATAATTTTCTCCTTGGGATAAAAATCTATTCCTATTCCCAAAGGCCTAAATTAAAAATCCCCTCTGCAAAGTCTCCTTCAATTGCTCTATATCAATAATTGACAAATCTTTCTTGTCAAAAGCCAGATAGTAAATATTTTAGGCTTTTTGGGGGGAGGGGGGCACATAAGGTCTCCATCTAAACTATTCGCTCTGCCCTGGTAGCATAAAAGCCACATAAAAGAATGGATGTGGCAACACAGAGGCAACAGCTGAATTTGCCCCAAGGGCTGCAGTTTGCCAACACCTACCCTACACAAAATTACAATTTACCATACAGCACCACAGCTTTTTGTCATCTACATTTAAATTATAAGCTCCTTGAAAAAACAATCGCTCAATAACTTTTCATTAATTCCACTCCCTCATCCCAGCACAATACCTAATATCTAAAAATTAAGCCCATGTTTGCTAAATAAGCAAAACAAAAGAACAGTAATATTCTATTCTAAATAGACAATGAAATAATAAGTAGTACATGCCAAAAATAGATGGGTATAAATATCTGACTGATCTTGGTCTTACTTTAAAGCAGCAATTCCTAAAATATCTATTACTCAATAGCCTCAGGCTGTCTAAATTCTAAACTTACATTAAATATATTATAATGCTTTTTACTAGCATTGGGAAGAATCTAAAGTGCCAGACTTTACCTAGAAATACTTGTAAATATCTGTGGAACAATATCCTGAGAGAGTAATAGATGATACATAACAACTAAGAATCAAATATTCTGATTTAGTTATTTGTCCCAAAGTATAAAACATATATTCATCTGTGGTCAGTTATTATTCAAAAAAAAATCCAAAAATGGGGAGAATACATAGTTCTTGACTATTTGATTCGCAAACAGTAATAATTTTTTATTTGACAGCTGGTATTCTGAATAGGTTGCCTTAGGATAGCTAAAATATATGCTAAGCCTGTCAAAAGATTGATCTTTGAAAGTCAAACTGAGGTGTACTTATGCCATTTATTCTAGACGGAACTCAGTATTTCTGTTCTATTAATAACACAGAAGAGATGGAGGGTCAGGAAAAGGTATAGATGGCATGGGACTCTGGCTCAACAGCTAAGAAAATTAAAATTTTTAAACTATATTCATTTAAGATAAAATAATGTGCTTCGTAAAATTACCAGTGACAATTATACAGTGCTTAAAATAGCCTTCAACTATGGAAAAAAGGTAATTAGAAAAATATAAATACATAGAGAATATTTTTTATGTTCTAGTGACACATACCTGATTTTTGCAGGAACTGAAACAAAGACTAATTTTTAAAGTAAGAATAAATAAAAAATAGTTAATAGGACTTACTATATACTAGGCCCTTTTCTAAGCACTTTACATATTTTTAACTTATTTATTCCTCATAATAACACTATGAGATAGTGCAACTATCCCTATTTTACAGTTGAAAATGAGGCACAGAGAAGTAAAATGACCAAGTTACACAGCCAGTAAGTGGCAAAACCAAGATCTGAACCCAGGCAATCTGGTTCTAAAATGTCCATGTTAAACCACTACATTATACCAAATGTACTTGTGTTATAGCTCTCTCCTAGTAGTATCATTTCCATTGTATCCTAAAACCTTGTTTCTATAAATAAACAATCTAAGTTGAAACTTGGACTAAGATCACAAACCCAGAAGAGCTTCAACACTGGGAGAATAAAGATGGCGCTCTCCCTCTCAAGTAAATAATTCTACAAATTAAAGGAAAAAAAAGAATATGCTCCCCAAATGGACAAACTGCCTCTTTAAATAATCATCTATCAGTTCAAGTTAGGGATCTTCTATGCTGTGCTTTTTTTTTTTTTCTCTTTAAGATTTATTCTCTAATTCCCTTCTTCTTTGCCTTTGGTTTGAATTTTCAGATTAAAAAAAAACTACTAATGATATGAGTCAATTTTTTCCATATGTACTAATTGCCATTTCTTTTTGTTTCTCATATTTTTCTTGATGAAGAATTAAAAGGGGTTTGTGTGTGTGTGTGTCTGTGTGTGTGTGTGTGTGTTTGTGTCTGTGTACAACTGAATTTTTCCTAGATTTTTTTAAATATCTAAAAACAACTACATAATGTGCTTGTATTTTGACCCAGTTGGTTGTTCTAAATGTTTTCTCCTGCTCCCAGTCTGCCAACTGCCTCCCTTACTACAATCTTCTCCCTACCCACAACTTTAAAGAGATGGCTTTTTTCACTGAGATTAAGGTCATCCAGAGTATGTAGCCCTTCATAAGCTCTGTCAACCTGAAGACATGCACTTCATCTACAGTCAAAGATAACAACTGCTACCAGTTTCCTCTTCTCTCAGTTTGCCAATAAAAATCACATAATAGAATAGTCTTAGGAAATATTTTCCAAACAAACAAAAAAAATAGTCAATTTTATCTTTTACTGTGAGTATAATTTTTTGATCACTCTTTTAGTTTTATCACATACTATAAGCACGAACTACTTGGAAAGACATCTTTCCATAAGAAATGCACAACAGGTCTTTGGTTAAAATCTTCAGATTAAAACAAAAGACAAAATGATTAATCCCATATACAGTGAAGGTATAGGTCTTATTTTTCTCCTTGAAAATTGGCAAAAAAAAAAAAGTACCCCAAAAAACGCCAAATAAGATCCACATTATACAGCAATGTCCAATAAAAAAATTCCATAACCCAGAGAATTTTAAACATACTGATAGTAACCAGATTATTTCTTAACAACTTCTGATCACAAAGACTATTAAAAATACACACCAACTTCATTAAAATCTTCAAAGGTGATTTTCCCTGTGGCTTCTCTGTCATAGTCTTTAAGAATCTTCAGTACATCAGCTTTTTTTACATCAAACCCCAAGGCTCTCATTGCCACCTTTTGGATTGAAAGGGAAAAGCAAATTATAAGGCACTCTTTGCAAAAGTGATTTCTAATTCTTAAATTTTAAGTTTTTACGACTTAAGAGATGACAATACATCAATAAACACATTTGTTTTCATGTTTTATACTTCTAAAATAACAGTGATAGTTTTTCTTCAATACTGAAATTAAATATCAATTTTCATTTATATAACCTTTTTATACAACAAATTAATCAATGAGTGTTTACAGAATACAGTACACAATGTACTGACTTTAGTGCACAATTTTAACAGGTTATTTGTTCTCAAAAGATTAACAACCAAAATGGAAAAAAAGCATAGCTTAAATATTAAGAAGTTATACAACAGACGAGATAATATAAGAATTTTCATCAGACTATATGTGATTAGTTATCAAATAGTCCAAGACCCTGACCTTAGAGAAAGAAGAAATCTAGTTACTCGTAACAAGGGAGGAGAGACATGTTACTGGTTAAAAGGAGTCTTACTTGGAGAGATTCAAGTTGTTCCTCAGATCAGGTATGGATGAAGTGAAGTACAAGGGTATTTAGAAAAGAATGACTGGTATTAAAACACACACCGAAATAAAGAATATGCTTGAAGACAGTGAATAGAGCAGCTTACCTTACCTGAATGGGAAAAGATCAGGTGGAAGCAAGCAATTAGCAAATGAAAAAAGTAGTTAGTAATAAAAGTGGAGGGCATTCAGTAAAAATTGAAAAAAAAAAAATCCGAACTTTATGCAGTGGACAATTAGGAGCCACTACAGGTTTCTGAGCAATAAACAATATGATGAAAAAATTTTAGAAAGATGAATCTAATGGTAGTGTACAGGAAATGGAGAAATCATTTAGAAAGTTCCAGATATGAAATAAGATCCCATTCCAAACCAAGATAATAACAATGGCAAAAAAGGGAAAGACATAAAGGAAGAGTTAATTGAAGCTAGGTAACTAAGAGAAACAGTGGAAAAAGAGACCTAAAGAGTTACAAAAATGCTACCTTTCTCACTGTGCTTAGTTTAAGATCCATAGTACCTTAAACACCAATTTTCCCTTGTATCTTTATAAATAATTCTAGAACTTAAAATTTGACATTTTTCCCCATTAGCATTGTGTCAACATCAGACATCACCTATGTTGTTTGCACCAGAGAAAGTAGGTTGAGACTGTGTCACTAACATGTTCAAATTAAAAAACAAGTAACATTCCCTCAATCTGAAAAATGGATGAGACACACACACCCCCCCCAAAGTGGGAAGTGGAATATATCAAGAACTGTTTAAATCCTATAGTTTGAAATTTTTTAATTATGCAAATGAAAAAAAGTCCCTCCATAGGAATGTATTTTTACATTTAAAATACTTTTCAATGTACCACATGAATGTTAGGAATACTATTCAATTTTATCATAGCACTTAATGGCAAATGTTTAAAATGGATTAATATCTCCAAAACGAGTTTAGTTAAGATAGTTATTTAAAATATATTTTCAATCACCTGTCAAAAATGCAAATCATTTTAACAGAAAAAGATATTTTAAAATATATTACCTTTAATTCATGATAATCTATTGCTGCATCTTTGTCTGTGTCAAATAGTTCAAAAGCATCTTTAATTTCTTGTTTCTGTTCTTCAGAGAGTTCTCTTCTTTTTTTTCTCTTTGTTTTGTCTACTACAAGCTCATTTCTATGAAATGAAAAAATTCTATTTAGTCCACTTTAATCCTATTCTCCTATGTCTCTAAATAATTCAATTAAGATTCCAAAAATGCAATAAAGAAAATTAGCCAATTAATAATTTTCTAATTTCTAAACAGGAGTTATTTTGCAAAAATATAAAGAAATTTTCATTACATGAGCCAAAGCCCTGCTCCTTCCATAGTCTAAGCTGCTATAAATCTGCACTACCTAAAACTGAAAAGTGTTCCAGATTATTTTAAAAAATGAAGACCTAACTCTTCCTTCCTCCTAGCTTGGTATTTATTCCCATTAATATTACTGTGAAAGAAACAAAAACTGTGAAAAGGAAACATTACTTTGGTGTCAGAAACCCCAACAAAAAACAAAGCACTCATACTTATTATTCCCATCAGTCTACAATATAGACTATTAAAAAAAATTCACAACTAATGATCACTGTATACTAGGTTTACTTTTATAGTGCTTATAATTATCAAGATTACTACATAAAACATCTAATTCTAAAACATCAATTAGCTTACAAAGTATTTTGGCATTGTGGGTTTAAAATGTTTTTAGTCTACACATTTTTAACATTTTGGCACTTTACTTGTAATTTCTTCCATTGATATTAACAAATCAGCCAAAATAATGAGTTTAAACATACCAGAAATATTAAACATCAAAAAAGTAAATATTTGTGTAGATTCTATATAAAAATGCCAAGAGCCGTATTGTGAATTTCACGTAACATATAAATTAGATTTAATTTCTCACAGACTATGAAAAAAAACTTAAGAAAAAAAAGGCATTCATTGTAAAAGCCACAAGTGTTTTCCTTAAAAGATGCCGCTCAAAGTGTTCAAAATTTTCAAATGGGACTGCAACACTTGTATAAGAACAAGTCCTGAAACAGAAGAATTACATAAAATTGTAAAATGTAAAACCTGGCTGACTTTATTAGAACACGTTATCTATCTGCATTTGAAGTTGTTTCGTGGTCTGCAATCTACAAAAAATAAAAAAGAGATGGCTAGAAAGTGGCCGAAAGAGGTATGGTAACGCTCAGGAAGATCACAAGAGACCTGACTTCACAGAAACTTGGACATTCCCCGGGTCAGACCACAGATTCTGAAGGGGCAAGTCCCAACCCAACACTGACCCCTTCCAAGGCTGCCACGATTATCTTATTAGAACTCGGCACCTTTTTAATGTGGCGTAACTATACTGGTATTTTTAAGGTAAAATGCCAAGAAAGGGTGAAGGAGAAAGCAACAGGTTAGAGGCTGGAACTGAATTCAAGGTAAAGTCACCAAGAAATTAGGAAATCTAAGGGATTACTAAAATCACTAAAACGGGTCTCCGATTATACCGTAAAGCAGGGCCCCAAGGATAAGGGGGAAGGGCTTTCGTGTTTACGGGTAAGTACGTTACCATGAGGGCAGCTAAGGTGCGAGCCCTAGACAAGGAACAAGGGGAATGAACGAAGGACGCTGCACGGCCTGCTTTCCCAGCTCCTCACAGAAACAACGCGAGAAAAAACCTCGCGATATTTCACCCCCTCCCCGCGACTAAAACGGTCTAGTTTGCTGGCGGTCCAAAGCCCAGTGCCCTGACAGAAATGACCACCTCAGCAGAAGTGCAGGGAGCTCACCAGGGCCCCCAAGGTGAGGGGTCCAGGCTCAGGAAGGATGCCTGAGGCTCCTTTCCTTCGTCCCAAACTGCACTCCCTTCCTCGCCTCGGCCCAAGGTGCCTCCCTTCCACACACCCGCCCTGGGGCCCGCAGCGGGGTGTGGAGAGCATTGCCACCTCCTCATTACCGACCTCAGAGCTAAACTCATTTTCTCTCCGGACAGAGACGTTCCTCTCAAGAACGACTTTTAACTCCCTACACAAGGCAGCACGACTTCCACAAGCCGTTCAACAGACACCAACGACCTCGGCGGCCTCAAGGACCTCCCAAAAGATAGACACTTCTGAGCGGGATTGGTTGAACTCTCTAACGTCCTGCCCATTGGGGCGGAAGCGTCTCTCGTCCTCTGCTTTCATTGGACAAATTTCGCGTCAATCAAAGAGATCTCCACCGGCCTTTCCCGCTGTGTAGATTGGCTTGTTGCTTTTTCCCGGAACGCTTTGCGAAGCGAGGGTCTGAATGTCAGCTGTGCTCGTGGCGTGGAGGGTGTCTGAGCTAAGCCTCGGGCTGGAAGGCCTGTGGCCTGTGGGCTAATGTCCCAGGGGCGGGAAGGGTAGGAAAGAGACACCCCAAAGGCTATCCTGCAGCTAAAAGGAGGGAGTGGCTTACGGAGCATTCTGCGAAACTTGGCTCCATTGTATTCTAAAATTTTGGATGGCTTAAGTACCTGGGGAGTTTTTTTAAAACACAAGTTGAAAAGGTCTTTTCCCTCATTCTATTCTAGGGGGTGTGAATCTGCATTTCTTTTTCCTTACAAACGCCGTGATTCTGAGGCAGGTGCTAAGGATTATACTTGTATTATTATCGGGTTGGAGTATTAGGCTATTTACGGTGAAGCTGTACCTAAGGGGCCGTTCGCTCCCCTCTTCCTCCTTTAAACGCATTCGTTCGCTTAGGTCCTTTATTTTCCAGGGCTGTAAGCTGCTTAGACTCATGATGTTATCTTAACTACCAAACTTAAGTCTCTTGAAGCTCACTTCAAGGATGTTTAATATATTCATTTGTTCGTCTGTCATGCAAATCTTGAAGGCCAGAATTACATCTTTCATTTAGCACTATTCTAGTGCCCAGTACAATGTGTGAATCATAGGTGCTCGATAAATATTCGTTGCATTGAATGGAACCTTGCTGTGAAAACTTACAAAGTACTGAGCTAAACTGCCAATCTCATAAAGGAATAAAATAACCTGAGGATGGGTGTGGAGCAGGGGAACGGGAAAGGTATAAACAGTATGGTATAAGTACAAAGGGATACATGTACAGGTTTAGCGAAGAATAGAAGAAAGACTTCTTGAAAGGGATGGCGTATATTACGCCTAGAAGGATGAGCTAAAGTTGGATAACAAAAAAATTAGAAGACAAGTTTTAAAAAGAAAATTGTTAAAATTACAAGTTGGTAGGATATTCTCATAATCTAATAATAAGCTGGTTCTTGGCAATACCAATAAAATTGATAGAGTTATGGAAGTGTAACAAGGAAGGGAATGTTGCCACTAATAAGGTTAATAGTTTAAAAAGGAGGTTTAAAAAATTATGAAAGTACTTTATACAACTTCACGGTGCTAATAAATATTAATACCAAAATGAAATGGTCACTTTTCAAGGAAAACAAAAAGACTCAAAACAGGTAGAAAACTGAATTAGGTTAGTAACTATTGACAGGACTAAAAAATGATGCCACAGTTCTATATCACAAAATAAAAAGGCATCCAGCCTACTCAGACTGGGTAAGTTTTTAAAATCCCTGAAGAGTTAATTCTTGTGCCTTAAAGTAAAAGCACGATGCAGAGCTTCTTACCTTAATTTTTAAAGCTGGCACAACCCTTGGCATCTTAAAAAGCACTTAAAGTCACTGAATGCATGCTCCGTGAAGAGTGTGTGCATGTTGCTCACCACTGTATGTGCCTGCCTCATATTTGATGTTCACTAGTGAACATGTGTGCAAAAATCCTAGATAGTGGCAAAATCAATTTGGTATTGTCTTAAGGAACATTTCACTATAACCAAATAGTGTTTATTTTTGAAAAGGAAATATAGTTCATAATATAAATGTGTTAATTAATAATTATTAATTAATCATAATTCTAGGTAAAGGTGATTGTCTCAGATGTCCAAAAAGGCACTGGAAAATACTCAACACTCATTCGTAACATGTATAAATAAACCAGGTATAATAGGTACTTTTTTTTTAACTTGATGAATAACGTACCTAAGAAAATGCTAGTGTTTCTCACACCTGCTCTCTGAAACACTAGAATTTTGTGAGATGTTTGGGGTCATTTTGTGGAGAATAGGTTTTGTGGGCAGATAATCTGAGAAAATAGTGTGAATGTGGTAATCAGAATGGTAAGTCCAGAGCCTGAGCCAAAAGTAGATAAAACTTCTGATTTAAAAAGATAGTGGGATTAGTATTTGTTTAGTCTTCCTCCTGAAACTTAATAAAACAATAGTTGAGAAATTAATTTCTAATACTGCAGTGACCTGGAGAAGTACCATCAGCAGACAAGGTATTTCAAAAAATATCTGAAAGATCAAAAGAAATATGGAAGCCTGTTAACAAATGAGACAAATCATCAAAATGGCATCTTAGAATTTGCAGGAGGTGACTAAAGGTTCAGGGAGAGTTGATCTGCCTGGCAAGAATCCCAGAGAGACCCTAGGATTAGAGTTATACAGTAGAGTAGAAATGAGAAGAGGGCTAAATACAGTATGTTAATTTGAAAGCTCTTTAGGAAACCACTGCACTTCAGTTCCTCCAGATTCCTCTCTTCAGTATTCTCTCTCTTCACATCTATCTAGAATCCCACTCTTAAAAATGAATGAAAAATCAAAACCCATTAGAAATAAGAAGGAAATCAAAGGTATGAAAGCTAAAATGCAGGAAAACAAACAGCTGTCTAGGAAGACTCTGAGTCAGCTTAGGAACCAAAAGAAATTAATAATAAACTAGTAATATTAAGCTTTCTAAGAAGCAGTCAAGAAAATACTATATTTTAGAATAGGATACTTTGAAAAAGAAACATTCTAACAATAAGAAAATAAATATGATGGCAGAAGTTAAAATTTTAATACAATAGTGAGATTTCATTGAAGAAATATCCCAAAACATACAGCATTCAGACAAAAACATGGAAAAATTGAAAAAACATGGAGGATTAATCCAATATGTTCATCATGTGACTAACAGGAATTCCAGAAAGAGAGCAACAAATGGAGGAGAGGCAGAAAAATATTAAAGTAATATTTGAAGAAAAATTTCAAGGAACCAAACAATAGCATGAGTCCCCATATTGATAGATATACCTAGTGCTGAGCAATATAAATGTTAAAAGAAATCACACCTAGCCACAGGAACAAAACATTTCAGAACATCAAAAATAAGAGGCCTAAAAGCTTTTAGAGACAAGAATCTGATCACTTATAAAGAATAATAATTGAATTTGCATTAGATTTCTTATCAGAAATATTAGATAGAAGAGAATACCTTCAAAACTGTAAGAGGGAATTATTTTGAACTTAGGATTCTGTTCCCTATCAAGACAAAAATCAAGCATTGGAACATAATAAAGATTTCAGAAAATGTAATCATCATATATGCTTTCTGAGATGTATACTCCATAAAAATGAGAGGAATTCAAAAACAATTTAGATATAAAAGACAAAAATCATAACCCAGTATGATAGGCTCACCAGAGATGACCATGCCTTAATCCCTGAAATTTGTGAGTATGTTTTGTTACATGCCAAAAGGAACTTTGCAGGTATAATTAAGGTTACCAACCTTAAGATAGGGAGGATTATCCAGGAGGCTCAGTCTAATCACACAAGCCCTATAAAGCAGGGAACTTTCTACATGTTGAGGCTGCAGAGGTCAAAGAGATGTGGAGAATGAATCCACCATTCATGGCTTTAAAATGAAGAAATGATGTTAAGAGTCAAGGAATGTGGGCAGCCACTAGAAGCTGAGACAACTCCTAGCCAACAGCCAGCAAGGAAACAGAGACCTCACTCCTACAAAAGCATGGAACTGAATCCTGGCAGCAACCTGATTAAGCTTGGAAGCAAATTCATCCTAGAGCTTCCAGAAGGGAGCACATTGTGTGAGCACCTTGTGAGACTCTAAGCAGATGACCCAGTTGAACCACACTGTACCTGGACTTCTGATCTGTAGAACTGTGACATAATGAGTGAGTACTGTTTTAAGTCATTAAATTTGTTGTAATCTTTTATGGCAGCAAGAGAAAACTAATATATCTCATAATTTAATGAAAAGAGAAAAGATGCAATACAAGAGGCTTAGAAAGCATTTAGTCTAAAATAAACAGACGAACACCTAGAAGAATGTTTTCAAGGAAAGGAGACCAGGGTGGTGGGCAGATTAGGTAGGAAGAGCTTTAGAGTGAAACGTAGTTGTGAGAAAAATCTTAGGCCAATGACAAACCCCAAAGCAAAAATTGCCCTTTCAAAGAGTCCCGTGTTAGGCAGGAATAGCCTAACGCTAGCTTTAGTATCCTTGCTGTGCTCATTGGCTAGGTGCAGCTCAGGTTAAGTGTGGCCTCAGTTTGAGCAGATCTGAGTTTGAGATGGCAGCTGGAAGGTATTAACTATGCACCTCGCAGGAGGTTCTTTCAAAGGGAGATCTGACCAGTATACTTTCATTACTGTCTCACAAGTCTTGCAGAGGTCTGGAGGGAGAGTATATCAAACAGAGGAAACAGCAAAGGCCCTAAAATAGGAACAAGGTTGGCATATTCAAGGAAAAAAAGATCAATAAGTTTGAAGCATAATGAGAGTCGCAGTGTGGTACAAGAAGGCAGATTAATGAAGAGAGTCCTAATCACATAGAACCTAATAGACCATGATGAGAGGATGACTTTTATTTCAAGTGTAATGGAAATCCATCAGCATGTTTTAAGTAGTGAATTATTATGATCTGATTTAAGTTTTAGAGCCAAATTTCCTGAAGCAATCTATATTTACAGCATCCATTTCCTCATATCTCATTTTCTCCCAACCCACAGCAAATCTGACTTATATCCACTTACCTCTCTACTGGAAGAGCTTTTACTAGGTCACCAAAGACTTCTTAATTGCTAAGTTCAGTTGCTTCTTTTCAATTCCCATCCTAGTTGTCCCCTGAGTCACATCTGCCTGTTGCCCACTCACTCCTTAAAATTGCTCTCATGGCTACTTTTTACCACTCCTTCCTTGTTTCCTTTGATGACTTTTCTCCACTCACTCCCTAAATGCTAATTTTTTTTTATAGGATTATG